CATTGTTTTTTCTTTTTATATTGAGGTTTTTCTCAGATGTATTTTGTCATTGGGTGTATCCTTCTTGAATTTTTGGTTTTTCGGCTTATGAAACCCAGGACTGATGAGCCTCTAGAGACACAAGTAGAAGGAAGGGGGTCCAGTGAGGGAGGAGGGGAGTGGTAAAGGGGAGCTGAATATGAAGGAGTTCAAGAAGGAAGAGAATGTTTTGAAACTGGTTGGGGAGGCAATTGTACAACACTGCGTGATGTGATTGAACTGTGCAATGATATATCTGTATTAGCTCCAAATGTTTGGTGTTGTTTTGTGTGTGTGTGTGTGTGTGTGTGTGGGGAGTTCATCTCAGAAACCCACAAAGGCCATTCTCCGCTGTCCTAAAGGTCGCTGAGAAAGGATGGCAGTGAGTTGAGGTGGTCTTTTGCTAAGCTAAGAGATTGACAGACCGACAGCCTGAGAAGCCCTGTCTAGGTCCACTGTGCATTGGACTAAACATGGCGGCAGTGATCTGTTTTTGTTGGTGCAGTGTGTGGGAGACACATGAAATGCTCTGATGGTTGGGTTTTCTGTAGAACTCACTGGATTGCAGTATTTCCACCTTAGTGAATATTGCTTTGAACGTAACTCAGCCTTGCCTCTGTGGCGTGGCGGTGCTCCCTTGAGCATTAATCATTGGAGTGTGTTGTCACAGTGGTACTGACAGGCTTGATGCTTGTGACAAGATTAAGCCTATGCTGTTGTTAAGTAGCGACGGCAAAGCATTGTCTTTCCTCACTGCCACTGAGTTGATTCCACCACTGTATAAGGAAGGACAGGGTAGAACTGCCTCTGTGGATTCCCAAGACGGTAAATCCTTATAGGAGTAGAAAGCCCGGTCTTTCTCCCAGCAACGCATCTCAGTTACTACAAAATTATAAGCAGGAGATATTTCCTCTCTTCTAGATGGATGAACTGAGGTTCACAGAGGCTATTAAACTTGTTTAACATCACACTGCTCTTAGAAGTGAAAAACCAAGACAACCAAACCACTGCCATGGAGTGTCCATTCTGGCTCCTGGCGACCCTATAGGACAGGGGAGACCTGCCCCTGTGTGTTTCTGAGATGGTTACATGAGAGTAGAAAGCCCCATCTTTCTCCCGTGGAGCCCCTGGTGGTTTCGAACTGCTGACCTTGTGCTTAGCAGTCCATGGGATCACTGTGCCACCAGGGCTCCTGAAGAAGTGGAGGGACCATGGGAATTCACTTCCCTGTGACTTGAGCCCTGCCTCTTCCTATTTTGTTGCCCCCAAAGGAGAGCATTTGTAGGAAATCTTTTGCATAGCTGACATGGAGAAAGGTGAAGAAGCAATTACCATGACTTTGTATGGGAAACAGGTGAGTCTGCCAGGATCCAAAATATAATCTATCAAATCATGCCAAACGACCCGTTAAACCTAGTGGAACACTACTGTGTCGTGTTCGCAGGCACCGTTCATGACTGGTGGCATGTTGTCCTGGAGAAGGAGCTTGGCGATGTCACTGTGGTAGATGATGGCTCTTTCTCTATTGGCTGACTCCACAGGGCCACCTGCAAAACAAACGCTGGATGCCGTGTTTATCTTTTTTAAAAAGAAAGAAAGAAAGAAAGTAAAAGCCCACATCCCCTTCAGACTTCTGTTGGTTAGTGAATGAAAACCGGTAGTAGGTCCTTTGTACAAGTGAAATTTCAAAAATCAAGACTACTTGTGCAGGCGCACATTGCTTCCTTGCCCGTCAACTCTTTACAGGAGTAGAAAGCCTCGTGTTTCTCCCAAGGAACAGCTGGTGGTTTTAAACTACCGACCTCACACTTAGCACAATGTGCAGCCACAGTATCGTGCAACCATAACTTAGTATGCATTGAGAAATTAAAAGACATTCTGTGTGACTTCGCTGTCTTGTGATAGCTGCTTCATTGTGGTGGTCTGGAATTGATCCTGCAATGTCTGCCAGGCATGCCCGTCCTCTGCCCTCACCATTGGCCCATCCCTTGCTGTTGACTCTTGACTGCTGTCCTGTGTGGGTTGGGCACAGCCCTGCGCTCGGCTCATCTAGACTGACTTGGGAATGTCATTACCCACATAACGTAGTGGTGACTTTCTGAGGATTGGTGCCTCTGAGGGGCTTCTGTGTCTCTCAAGAGCTAGGACTTTGACATCTGCTTCGACTGTGTCTGGGCCTTGTTTGTGCCTGTTGGCTTTGGATGGGCGTTCCCAGAGAGATGAGAGGCCACTTTACCTTCAGTTGGGTTTGGGGAAAATACAAAAGAGTTGGGACACAGGTCTTCTGGGATACTCCATTCCTTTAAGATTATTTTAAGAATTGACTATTTCAATAGATTTGGCTGTGTTAAACCTTCCATTTTGCTTATGTGGCTGTGAGCTCCTTGAGAATTATCTCCACCCAGTATTCAGCAGAGCACCTGCAACAAGACACTCAGCCCATGTTTAATGGATGCAGCACCGCGGCCCTTCTATAGAGGAACACAGTATTCAGGGAGGACCTTCTTCCTGCCTCCCTGGCCTCCTCTCATGTCTGTATTGGTGGAACCCAGTTGTGAGGCTCTAAACAGAAACTTGCATCATTCTGACTCATAGGGACCCCTTAGGACAGGGTGGACTGCCCCTGTGAGTTCCCGAGACTAACATGTTACATGAACTAAGCCTTGTAGCACATGAAAGCCTTGTATTTCAACTGTGGAACAGCTGGTGGTTTCAAACTGCCGATGTTGCAGTTAGCAACCCAACACATAACTACTATGCCCCTTAATCCTAAAGGTAACCGTTATTTTGTCAGCTGAAAGGTATCCCTGGTGGTGCACTGGGTTAAGTATTAGGTGCTAACCACAAAGTCAGCATTTCAATCCAGCAGCCACTCTGTGCAAGAAAGATGAGGCTGTCTGCTCCCAGGGAGAGTTACAGCCTTGGAAACCTGGAGGCGTAGTCCTGCTCTGTTTCAGGGTCATTAGGAACTGGAATCGACTGGATGTCAGGAGGGGTAACAGATTATCTTTAGTCACAGCAATGCCGAGCATTGTGGAAAGATGCAGAGTGGAGGCATGGAGTTATTCAAGGTGGCTTCTAAACGAGCAGCTCTTGGTAAGGGCTGCCAATGTGTAGGAAGCATTATTATTTTTTAGCTCCACAGATGAACAGGCATTTATGGTTAGTAGTTCTCTATTCTATGATTTCCAAGATTCAGCTTCTCTTAAGGTGGAGGCTACATTTCTAGAGCACCGTGTGCCACTGCCATTAGCATCCTGCACCCACCTACAGGTTCTGGTCCTGAGAGCTGTGCTGGAAACGGCTGTTTCCCGCCACAGCCTCCCATTTTGCCACCATGGACGGCTAAAAGGACAACCCGATCTGATTTAGAAGGTGTATAGGCAGGGTCTTGAAGAGGGCGGGGGAGGGTAAGACTTACATATTTGAATATATTGTCAGGAGAGACCAGTCCCCCTGGAGGAGGATATCATGTTTGGTAAAGGGGCAATGAAAAAGAGGAATTATCGAGGATTCATGAGGGAGGGAGGGTGGGGAAGGAAGGCAAAAAGGGAGGCAAAAAATGAGAAGCTGATTCCAAGGGCTCAAGTAGAAACAAAATGTTTTGAAAATGATGACGGCGACATGTGTATAAATGTGCCTGACACAATGGATGGGTGTATGGATTGTGATAAGAGTTGTACGAGCCCCCGGTAAAATGATCCTTAACAAGCTGGGTCGGCACCATGGCTGCAGCAATGGGCTTGAGCCTCGGAGCACTTGTTGAGGAGGCCCAGGACCAGCAGGGTGCCACTGGGTTGCCCTGGTCATCGTGCCTCTGTGACGTGGAACCGACTCACGGGCAACAACAAGCACATCTCCGAGGGAGTCCCCTTCCCAATCCACCTGCTTTGCCTTCTGAAGACATGGCTAAAGTACTGTACATTTTTAGATTTCACTAAGGACATGGCAGTGGCAGCCCTGGAACAAGTGATCTGTGCTTGTGAAAGAATCTTCTGTTGGGAAAATCCCGGTTGGTTCATCCCTCTTCCCTCTCTCCATGCCAGGATTTGGCGATCCTTTCCTTGGGCTGTTTCATCAATTTGTTCGCACAGAATAGGGGCATTTTCATGAATACACCCAGAGAGAGCCACACCCTCTGCGGTGTCCTTGAATCCACTCGAATGATGCTCCGATGTAGTTGGTAGTAAACATTTGTATTGTAACTTACTTTGAATTACTCTTAGGGGATTATGTCACCAGTACGTTTTTAATAGAAAATAGGGTGGAAGTCTAGTTTAGCTTTTCACTTCAATGTGGTTGTTATTGTTAAGTGGCATCGAGTCGATTCTAACTCACAGCAACCCGCTGTTTAACAGAACGAAACACTGCCTGGCTGGCCCTGTTCTCACGAGTGCTCTTAGGTTTGAGTCCATTGTTGACGCCACTGTGTCAACCCGTCTTGTTCAGGGCCTTCCTCTTTTTTGCTGGCCCGCCACTTTTCCAGTCATGATGTCTGCCTCCAGGGACTGGCCTCTCCTGTTACATTCCCAAGGACGCGAGATGAAGTCTTACCATCTTGCTTCTAAGGAACGCGCTGGCTGTACTTTTACCGAGTCAGGTCTGTTTGTTCTTCTGGCAGACCGTGGTACTTTCAGTGTTCCTCGTCAGCACCACAGTGGAAATGCATCCGTTTCTTAGGGTTTCCCGTGTTCAGTGACCAGCCTTCACATGCCTGTGGGGCGATATGAAAATACCGTCACGTGTCATTATTTGATAAAATGGTTATATGACAGAACATACTTATGGGTGTTTCTGCATATAGTTAATTATATTTAAATGGCTTCCTTGGCAACATCAAATGATCTCCTACCGGGGACAACTTTTGGGGATGCATGCAACTTCAAGTATAACTCTACATGCCTGTGAATTAAACTAACACTGAGTTAACTAGTATGTTTTCCCAGATTAAGAAAACACTCATACCTACATCTGTCTTTCAGGCGGTAACGGAGAAGAGTTTTAAAACCAAGGATTTCCGAGCCTCCTTAGAAAATGGTGTCCTGTTGTGTGAGTAAGTATTCGTGTTTAAAAACATAATTCAAAATGCCAAGTGCGCGCTCGTTCTCTCTCTCTCTTTCTGTGTGTGTGTGTGTGTGTGTGTAAGAGCCCCTCCCCCACAGTCATGGGAGATTTGATCCTTGCAAATTGATAGCTCCACACTACATGACGGGTGGGGGGGTGGGGGGGTGGGGGGTTTATCAATCTCTGTATCTAAAGATAGCATTGATGCAATACATATTATTTTTAATTAGTGAACAAGAAAGATTCAGTCACTGCAGCCAGTAAGGGTGGATGGGTGGAAAGAAGCCTTCCTCTGCTCCACCAGCTGTCACTTCCTCTGACCAGATTAGCCTAAGCACTGGCCTTGCTTCAGAAGTTAGTGTGACCCTCCTGTCTGCGGTAAGTAAGGAGCGTCACTGGAGAGCAAATTTGGACAGTGGCACTTTTTTCCCCCTTTATGCTTTCTAAGTGGGTTCATTTCTTTAGTGAAACCAGCTGTGTCTGTCTGGGGTTGTCTGCAACCAATCAGAGTCCCGCTGGGTGTGTGAGTGACGTAGGCAGTTGGGTCTGTGGGGTGTAAGGAGAAAGCCTATCTTGGAGCAGGGGACACACATGGCGCAAGCAAGTCACAAGAATGTACTTGAGCCACCCACCCATAATTTTGAATGCACTGAACTATCCCAAGTTATCGCATAGGTATTTATGGAATCTGTCCACATTTAAGTGGTGGGAGCTGGTGCACTAGAACTTGGATGATTTCGATTCATTTTGAAGGAGGTTGTTTACCAAAAATGGAAGGAGTCAAAAAGCCTGAGTCTGATTCCTTGCCCTTTCCTTGCTAGTTGTGTGCATGTGAGCAACTGATGATCACACGGACCCTTGTTTCTCCTTGTGGAGTGGTGGCCATCATGGTATATGATCTGCCCAATTTATAGTGTTGCAAAATTCAAGGATAGGTACATTATGGTTTCAAACAAACGATTATGCTTTTTATAACGAAGGCCTGTTGATACCTATCTCATCAGCTCTGTTGGACAGGTGTGCAGCCTTCTTTGTCAGACTCACCTGAATGCCATTGAGTCAGTTCTGACTCATAGCCACCCTCATAGCTAGTCCAGGGTAGAACTGCTCTTGGTAGAACTGCTCTTGTGGGTTTCTGGACTACAGCACTTGAAGCCATGTCTTTCTCCCGTGGAGTGGCTGTTTTGGACTGCTGGCTTTGCGCTTAGCAACCCAGCCGGTAGCTACTGAGGCCCCCAGGGCTTATGATCGTAGTATTTAATGCAACAACAGGAAGTTGCTGGTATTCTACCACTTGTTATCGACCAAGCTGCTTGTCTTTAAAAACATTTACAACTTTTTCTGACATACAATTTAGTGGTTAAATATATTAAAAAGAATTCTGCAATAATCATTGCACTTTTAGATCCTTTTCTTCATTCCTTTTTTTTATTTTTAAATGAAGTGACCATTTCCCCCCAACCTCTCTTGGGAGCTATGAATCTAGTTAATCTTTATGGATTTTCTTATCATGGATTTCATATAAAGAAAATCATACGAAAGAAAACCCAGCAACAACAAAATAAAACAGAAAAACCTCACTGCCAAAGAAAGCAGAAAATAATAGAAGTTAGAACAAGTGAAAAATGAGTCAAAAGGGAAAATAATGGGCAAGATGTGAAATTTTCAAGCTAACCCCCTTCCGTGCACTCTGTCTGAGGGGACAAGACTCGCTTCTGCAGTCAGTGGACACTGGGAGCTCAACAAGCAGTGGTCAGTCTTAGGAGGGTCACCTGAAGATACAAAGCAAGCCCACGGGAGAAGGGACATGAATAACATTTAAGGGATGTTTCTTGGCTTCGCTCAGGCTTCTCTTGAACATCACCATTGCCACACGGTGCTTACAATGGATTTAAGCAGGCCATTTATTCCAGATGGCCACTGACGGGAAACTCCTTTTATCTTGATGTGAAGATTTCATGACTTTTGTGTCCAGTAGTTGTGAGGAAAGGCAGCGAGACCAAGGCTGTTAGTGATGGATCGTTTGCAGCACAATTGCTTTATTATCGTTTCCAAGCCTTCGAAATCTGGATAGGAGTTAGGTGAGTTTATGTAGGAAGTGTGCTTATAAGTACGGTGTTGATTTTATACACATGAGACAATATAATCCAAAATACACGATCTTTTCAAAGAGGCCACTACTTTGTGGATTACAGAGCTTTCGTGATGAACTATTGCCCAAAGCATATTCGCGGTCTCCTTTTGGAGCGATTGCTTCTGTAACGGTTTTATTGGACACATCGGATGTGTGTGTGTGTGTGTGTGTGTGTGTGTGTATCATTGCCACCGAGTGGGTTCTGACTCCAGCCGTCCTGTACGGCGTTTCTGAGGCTGTACCTCTTCCTGAGCAGAGAAAGCTTCACAGTTCCCTCTTGAATATACTGGCTAATGACACCTAATTTTTAAATTCAAGTGTAAATTTATGCACGAGAATGGGCTCTGTCTGATTTGAAGTAATTTCCAAAAAGTCTCCTGAGCCTGGCGGGATGAGCATATTATTACGAGGAGGCTATTCAGGATTACTGAATAACCATTTTGATCACAGGTGGGACTGTTAGCATCAATATGAGGGGGCTTTAAAATGGTTTGGGAAGAGCAAACTTAAAAGATAATGCCATTTCCCCCACAAATTATTGACACTCTAATTTAGGTAGAGTCTACCTTAATGGCGATAAGAAACATTTAGCTGCACATCTTTGGAAATATTTATGTATTTATTTTTGGTCACTTTAATTCCCAAACGTTTAATAGTTCATTATTAGTTTGCTCATTTCAGTAACACCAGTATGGAATTGTGCGTCCCTATAGCCTAGTCCTTATTTTGAGTACCTCGTCGTCTGTAAATGAGGGCGTCCTGGGAGTGTAGTGATTTGCACATTGGACCGCTAGCCACACGGTCAGTAGTTCCAGGTCACCAGCCACTCTGCGGGAGAAAGAGGAGACCCTCTGCTCTTGTTAGAGTTACCGTCTTGGAAACTTACGGGGGCAGTTCTACCTTGTGGCGTACTTTTGCCCCATCGGGTCAATATCAGTTGCAATCAACTAGATTATGGTGAGTTTTGCTTTGTGGTTTCTATTCTTCAAATGAGTGCTTTCTAAAAGGAGCTTTGGTAAATATTAAGCAGTAATCACCAGCAGTTGTGATTTACTGTGTTTTTGTGGTTGGGTGCCATTGAACCCGTTCCGACCCTATGAACAGTAGACCCAAGCACTGCCGGGTCCTGCACCGTCCCCACAATGGCTCTTCGGTGGGAGCCCATTGTGGTAGCCACTGTGTCATTTCTTCTCTTGATGCTCTGACACTTTTTCACAGACCTTCCACATGACGTCCTGTTCTAGGGCCTGGTCTTTCCTGACAACATGCCCCAAGGATGTGAGACAACGTGATATACTGTAGGGACACCAAAATATTGCGTAATATTTATATTAAAGTTTCCCTCCATATGGGAATCACGTTGTTTATAATCCCTGGTTAATGAAGATCTATTAAGCTAATAGGAGTAGGTTTGATTGAGGAATAAAGTTCCAATCTGAAGAATTCTTAGGCAGTGAAGGGATTAAGTAGACACCACTCTTTGGAACCACATGTCCCCGAGTTATGCTCCCTGAGAGGAAAATGGAACCAGTGGCTCGGAGGCCTACTGTTTGAAGCTCTGACTCTCAACCTAAGGCAACTGGAGTTGGCGGTCCCGGAGGAGAGCGAGCCCTGGACCTACGGTGGTGAGTCATGGGGCCATGTCTGCCAGGTCAGCGGTTGGGAACCACCAGCTGCTCCGCAGGAGAAGACGGGGCTTTGTAAAGAGTTACTGTCTTAGACACTCACAGGGGCAGCTCTACCCTGTCCCAAAGGGCCGCTGCGAGCCAGCATCGACTGGCTGGCAGTGAGCTTGGGGTTTTTGTTGTTCCTGGAGAAGTTTTTCGTCATCAAAGATCTCAGGTTTTAACGGGAATATGAGTAGGAAGCATTTAAAGATCTGAATTCATTTTCTTACAGGACCAGGCTAATTTCTGTTTAGTTCACTTCCAGAAGAGTGATGGATTCTTGGGAAGCAGAGGGTCTGCTTGCTGCCTATTAAGAACATCTAGGCAGTCTTGTTTATTATTTGCATCAAAGAGTTTTCTTAGTCTTTCACCTAGCACTTTCAGGAGCTCTTTATCCATCTGTGTAGCTGGTCTCCTTTTTAAATGGCAGCCTGAAATATCAAAGTCAAGAGTTGGAGGATGTGAGCTTATTATAGTTTCCACCCAACTATATGCATTGCCCTGGCGTTTCCGAGGGTCTGAACTGGGTCTGCACTCTGTGCCCAGGTTTCAGACAAGATTCTCAGGTGAGTCAGGAGGGCCTGAAGTTGTGCCCGTTGCCTTTTCACTTGATGGACTCTGGAAATGAGCAACTTTATAACATCATCTTAGTGCCGCGTCATTTGACTGGTGGTGGGGGCTAGTGAGTACATGGCAGGGTGAAAGAATGCCTGTTAAAGTCGTTCAGGTAATTCTTTTACTGCTGACTTGAAAGGCGTGATTTCTCTTTGCTTTACCAAACAGTGAAATGGGATCAGCCTAAATTTCATGCTGTCCCATTCACAAAAGGAGTGGCAAGCGTCTACAAAGAGATTTTAGCCCCTTGTTTATGCTTTTCCATGACTTTTAATCACTAATCCGTGCCCTGTCTTGAGAGAGCCTGGGTGTCACTCTGGGTGAGGTGTTCATGGACTTGTTAACCGAAAGGTTGCCTGTTCAACCCTGCCAGTTCCTCCGAGAGAAGATTGGAAGTCAGCCGTGGGCATCCATGTAAGGTGGCTGAGAGCTGGGCTTGACCTGATGGCTGTGGATTTGGTTTGATGGCTGTCTTCAGCAGCCACATGCAATGTTTCTTTGTGATTATTACGGCTGCCTTACTCCTCAACTTAAAATAGACATGTAAAAGATTTGCCACTATAAACAACATCC